GCAGCAGCAGCAGCAGCAGCAGCAGCAGCAGCAGCAGCAGCAGCAGCAGCAGCAGCAGCAGCAGTAGGAGCAGCAGCAGCAGCAGCAGCAGCAGCAGCAGCAGCAGCAGCAGCAGCAGCAGTAGCAGTATGGCAGTACGACCAGTGTCTTATTACAACATCTTCATGGGCTGTCTACGTATCGCGCGACCGTCAACCAGGCTGCTTGAATCGCTTAAGTTTCAGAACAGCTGATGAGAATGATGGCCACGACGCTCGGGATTCAAGCCATTGACTACTTTGATTGAGCAAATGCAATTCCCGGAATACTCAGCCCCTGAAAACAAGAAGGTCCAAAGACCAGCAGATAAGATCTAGACCCTGGGTGCCGAACTGAACTCATCTGCAGGAGGATCGCAGAAGAGCTCCAACTGATATCCGGAGCCGTACTTTCCCCTGAGCCGTAAGCAGGTTCAAGGCTTGAAGTGGCCGTGACGGTAGCGGCAGCAACAGCAGCATGCGTTGTATTTTGGTGTTCGCAACATTTGGGCACGGGGGAGTATTCTACTACTCACTCCGCAGGAAGCTGCAACAACCCCAAGCCCTGCACTTGATGTGCAGAGGCGTGCCCAAGCATCGAAGCTGACCACGGACCTCGCCGCGTGGGGAGGCTTGTGGAGATGTTGCATAGGCTTGCTGGAAGCTTAGCGCGGCCAGTCAGTGTATCATGCAGAAATCATCCTTTCTCCCTAGTATTAAAATCCCCCCCTCCTAATTTAAAAACCAAAATTCGGGGGTTCAGTTTTTATATTAGGGGGGTTTCCGGCGCATCCGGGTATGAGTCGGGTTACTGTAGACTGTAGCCCTGAGCTTTAAGAGCCCTGCAGCCTCAAGCCTGAACCCCTAAGCCCTAAAGCCTTAAGCCCGAAACCAAACAGTCAAACACGACGACTGATTCCTACGCAGCCGCTCCGGCTGTAGAGCAGGCAGTCAGCCTGCCTTAAGCCCAGGGCCCTTACCCCCTAACCCCTAAACCCTAAAGCTCTGGTCCTTTGGTTTAGTACTACTGTAATCTAGGTTATATTAAAACTCATACAATCCGTAGGCCCCCCCTAGTGTTTGTAATTAACTTTCAATTGCGGGCCCGAAACCGCGAATTTCCGGGGCCGGCAGATTTAATATTAGGGGGTGTTTAATATTAGGGGGAAGCGATTATGCGCACACAGTCTTGTTTACGTCCTCATGTTCTAACACTCAAAATGTCTAATCCTATAGAGGAGTGTATGACTCTCTGTGTGTGCACACTCAGAAAACAGATACGTTACACTCTCGAGGTGTTTTTTTGAAGGCGAGTTGTCGCATGTGTACTTGTTGTTTCTAAGGATGCATCCAGCAAGATAAGGTATATGTCCGTCATTCTGCTCAGAAGCTGCCTTCCTCTATGGGCATGACAGCAAGAGTAACTTGGCATGCCTCCATATTAACAACTTCGGAACTTGCACCCGATGCCTGGATCGCGATGCGATTGCAGAGTGCCTCTGCCTGAGCAGCTCGCCACTGTGAGGTGTGTTGGTGTGCGGACTGTACAAGGGTGACGAACTTGCTGCTGCTCGGTTTACACCATTTGATTGGGCTTGAAACCAAAACATGACCGAAATGACTTTGAGAGCATGCAGCAGCTGAAGCGGAAGCCCAGATGATTTAAAAGTCTCCTCCCCTGTCGGAATTACCAACAAGCTCGAGTACAAACGAAAGGCTAGGACAGAGCGATGCCCCGTCATTTATGACGGTGTCGCGCATGTTACAGGAGAAACAGAAAATAACGAAACGACCCTTGAAGCTCTCCCCCCGAAGCTTGCTTGCATTCAAGCCCTATGCTTTCTGAACCTGAGCACGACGCACTTCCGAATTCATGGTGCGTATTGAATCATTATCTTGCAGTCTCCGTCTGCCACAAATTATGATATCTCTGTGGTTCTGTCTGTCTCTTTCCCTCTGACTCTGCCTTTCTTTGAAAGCCCGGACCCAATGCTAGCCAACTTCTGCCTCCTCCATGGAGTGAGTCGTCAAGACCACGGTTTGGTCACGCGAGCGCATACGGATCACCTGACGGGCTGAAATAGCGAGACGTGAGGCCTAGGATTTAGGAATTATTCCGCAATGTAAGCGGCACGACTACTGGGCTCAAGGTGGATGATACCCTCCTCCCTTGGGATCTGTCGGAGATGGCCTTCCACAGGTGCCGCTTGGCACCAGCGTCCACGGCTGCACTGGGCTCGTCCAGGAAAAGCCTTTGTCGGAGCTCTGCCGGGGCTGCAGCCCTCCAAAAATCCTGTATAACCCCAAAACCCTCGGCTCCCCAAACGGTAGGGCCACCCTTGTTCCCTATCTGGACTTGTGACTGGTACAATCGCCAGAAACTGTAGCAACCACAGCAAAGGGCATGTGCAGCGCGCAGAGACTACAAGGCGCCCCTAAACCCTAAACTCTAAACCTCTTCCAGCCTCCTTGCGCCCTGGGCCGCAAGCTCCCTCTGCCCACCCGAAACCCTGATAAGACCCAGACCCAAGAACCGGGCCCCTCTTGAGAATGCACCAAGTCCGTACTGTGACAGCCACAGCCCCAAAAACCTAAGCCACCTGGGGCTCGCAACCTCTTCTACGACTTTACTCAGGGCTTAATCTGACACTGTATAATAACCCTTGCAAGCCGAACGCCCCAATGCCGCGGCAGTCGCACTCACAAGCCGTAAACCCGAAATCCCAAACCCCAAAAGCCCAAAACTCTAAACCGCTCTCGCTCGCTCTCTCTTTTTTTCTCTCTCGGAAACCATAAACCCCAAAACCCTAAACCCGAATCCACATTTGTTCCGGGCTAGGAGCAAAGGAGATCGGCCGATCAGGGCGATGGCGAGGCTCAGTTTGCCTTTTTTACGACTCAGCCAATTTATGAACGTGATTTAAGGTTATGTATATTATGAATGAATCCTATGCATGAATCCTAACAAATTTGGGGTTGTGGGGCCAGGGTTTCTCAATCAAGTTCCTGCAGTAGGTAATCATCAGGAGCCCTCTAGTAGGCACCCTTTTAGGATTTTACGGTCCAGGGTCTGGGTATGGGGTCGCCGGGTAATAAGCAAGAACTTTGGATTCAGCGCTTCCCCGGTTGAAGAGCTCAGGCCACTACTCGTCCAGCTAGACGGCAGTGCGGCAGTGATGAGGACTGAGCTTACGGTCGAGCCTAGCCGGGCACAACCTTCAGTGAGCCAACCCTGTCAGAAGGATCCTGGTTCCCCAAACCCTCCGAAATCGAGAACTGGCAACATTACGAATTTCCTTCCAGCCAAGCAAAACAGACAACATGAGAAGCCAAGTTCTGAGGGCTCAACGCTTCATTCCGCCGCTGTACCTTAGCAGCGTCAGCCCTGCAAAACCACCATGACATGTTGTTGTTGCTGCCAACGCTCGACCAGAAATGAGAGGAACAATGGAAACACGAGCACTACTTGTTGCTAGTGCTGCTGCCTGGTGAACTTCTGAGCGGCCCTGGCAAGACATGCCTTCACGAGGGCCTTCAGCTGAGTCACTAGTCTTGCTGTTAGTCTATCCTGGCCATGCCTTCAGCTCTTGGCATATCGAGGGAGGCTGCTGTACAAGCGGCCAGCAGGGCAGAGATTCTTTCAGGACCTGTTTGAAATAAACCTCAAACGACCCCATTGGTGCTGGAACCTTCTCGCTAGCTCCGTCAAGTGCGACCCCAGCCGGAACTCGACTGATTGGGGCTGCGAAGCTGGCGGCTGCCAGCGCTGCAACTCCGCCATCTCCGATCCGGCAACACGTGAAGAGATCGAAACTGGTCAACTTCTTGCATTCCGGGACAGGCTGTCACTCTCTATTGTAATCTCTGACAGCTTCTCGCAATTCACAATGGCAGTAGCAAATGCTGTGCCGCCCGCATCCTCAATCCCATCACCTGTCACTTCCAGTTCGACCAGCTTCTCCGGACGAAAGCTGTCAAGACCATGTGCAAGTTCGACAGTGATGCTACCTCCAAAACTGTGTGAAGAGTTAACGAGTCTGAAACGTCTTAGGTTCACGAAAGGCGGCAACGCATTGGCCAAGATCGCTCTCTTGCTAGGGCAGGCCACTGCCGGGAGCTCAGTTCGCCTATGGTCATGCTCCAGGAAGACAAGCTCCTGCAATTGAGCACATCGGAGCGCGTCCACTGAGCTTCGGCAACACACCACCCTCATATGGAGTACGGTGCTCTGTTCCGGACCAACTCACCCCTGCAGGGGAAGCGGCTCAAACTTGCCAGTGTTTTTGCAAGATATGCTAATGAAACCAAGCTTCGATTTTTTCTGCCCTCAGGTGCAAGCTCCTCCAGACGAATCACGCGACAAACGTGATGGTGATCATAGAGCAGATGCATGCCTCCCATGGCTTTCTTTGAAGCAAGCACATAAGATCAATGAACACCCAGAACTGAGTGTTGGGTTGATAACGGCGAGCATGTACCAATTCAGGAGGATAGGGTGAGACTTGTGCGCTGTAAAAACTGCAAGGAGACTCTGCAACTGCCAACCCCATGGGTGGGGATATTGCTGCCGCGGCGTCAAGAGGCAGAGGAGGAAGAGTTCGAGAATTCCGATGGCGAGATCCGACCGGTCTCCGCAAGCTTGAAAAGATTTTCCAGCCGCGCCAGTCGGATGCTGGCCTCGACCAAGAATTTCTGGAGACACTTCGGATCTGTCAAGCTCTGCTCCTTCATGTCCGCTGGTCCTGCCGCTGTCTGGCCACGTGCCTGGACAGAAGTACTCGCAGGACCTCTCTCTGGGTCGCTGGCGTACGGTTTCGGCATATCTCAGAAATCCTCCTCCGTTGGCTCCGGTAGTCCAACCTTCGTGACTATGCAGGCGGCGCCGACACGCGACACTCCATAGCACGGCACGGCCGCCTTGTTTCTACACAGGCCTGGCGGTTGCTGAGCTTCAGATGGTTATCTACGGGCAGGGGGCATGATCTGCAGTTTCGCTGGTCGCCGTGCTCCACGATTACGATAACAAGAGTAATAATAATAATTAAACTTTAGGCGTCATCGTAATAATAGCAATAATACTATTTATAGTACTAACAAGAAAGAACATAATTCAAAAGGGAAGAAGAACAGTCACAACAGTACGAATGTTACATATTGTGCTATAATTATATACCAACAGACATAATATTTGTGAGGAGTCTGCTCCATGATTGTGTCTGCTGAACCACTCTCCACAAACTTCATTTCACCCGACTTGGGGATACTTGGGGAATCGAGCTTTGCTTCTCATCTACATGCCTGTATGGTTTAGAGGTTGAATACCTCAACCGAAACTTTCGTGACGGTCCAGAGTTTATGGTTAGCACCGAAGCCAAACAAGTACTGAAGGCAAACTTAATGTGTATCCGCTGTAATCTGGCTACTAACCCCAGAGACTCCATGTATACGACCATTCTGGAATTCAGCCCCAACGGACCATCCTTATCATGGTTTTGGGGACTTATATAATTCCATACTAGTAGTATATATGTAACCTCTTGGAGCTATGGACTATCAATCCGATGCAGCTAAAGCTGGGTGGCCAGCTCCACGGCCTTTCTGTCGGCATCCTGTCCTTAACAGATGCATCCTAGATCATGTGTAGTTCTCTGCTTTAAGGGTCCCTTCCCCTGTCCGTTTAGTAAAGGTTCCGCCTTATTTGGGGTTCCTGAAAAGCTATACGCTCGCGTAGCTTGCTTTCACTCTGAGAAGCCAAGGAACTAGGCGGACCCAGATTTGAGAAGGCAGATATTTTACAAGCAACTTTGGGATTATATAATGGAGATGAGATCACTTCTTCCTAGGGTCCTACGGCAAAACGACGCTTTGCGGCCCCTCAGTCAGGAATACCTCCCTGTTTGATAGGGCACAGGCCGGGTAAACAGTGCAAAACCGCATCTGACCTTGTCTGCGGATGTTTTACTGCAGCTCCAACTAGCACAGAAGTACTGTAGGTTTAAGGTCCCGGGTTCAGGGGCATGCATGGGCGGGTTATGTACAGCCGGTGGGCGGCCTCTGCATCCGCTCTACTCATCTACATCTATCAGACGCTTTCCACCCTTTTCGGTTCCGGCGACAATAGAAACGCCAAATATACTATAGTATATCATGTTATATTATATTGTATTGGGCTATGCTATATTACGGTCATATGTTGTTCTATTATACTATATACTACTATACGATGTTATACTATATTCTACTATGGTGTATGTCATTATATCAAAGCATGCAATATAGTTTTATCCTGCAGTGTCATAGATTTTGCATGCTGCTATATCATACTAGTTTTACTACACTATACTATATTGTACGATACAATGCTAAACTATAATTATACAACACGACACTATACTATGCTGTGCTAAGCTACGTCATGCTATACAAGGTTATCTTATGTTGGGCCTTATGCTTTATCTTGTGTTACATTCAGAAAAGTTACACAACATCACTAGAATCGGCAAAAGCACGAACAGTTCGATGGTCTTAATTCCGAACTCAGCCCAGCACTACGTCATGTACCCCATGAACGATCGGAAATATGTCGCCGGCGTGGGCGTCTTCAAGCCTTTAGATCTAAAGTATCAACAGCATCTCGAGCCAAAACTTACAGCTGCACGCCCTGATGTACGAGCCTCTTTCAGTCCACTATATCATAACACTGGATTGGACGCAGGCATTTCTTCTACTTGTAGGTTGAGCTTGAAACTTCTATACTTCCTGCGTCTTGTGAACCTCTACCCTGGACCCTGAGCCCCTTATAAACCCTGAAATTGAAACACTCTGCCTGTCTGCCTCTGAGGCCACTACCGTCGAGCCCCAGCCGGTAAAGGAGATTGTTCACACGCGCATCAAGCTCGGCCTTCGAAGAACACGAGAAGCCTTGTCTACCATTATAGCACAGTGTGCTGTAGGATGCTATGTGTTTCCTTTATTGCAAAATGTAATATAAAATAGAAAAGTACAGTATCGTATAGTATAGGACTGAATAGTATAGTATAGTATACTATAGTCTCGCATTATTATCTTCCTCCTCGGCCGAGGACTGATGTCAGTGGCTTTTCAATTTGCCAGGTAACTCTTGATTGTTTCCCGATTCTAAAAGGCGGTAAGGACTTTCGGAACTTCAGGAAACTCAGTGGCCTGAAGGGACCAGCGATTTAGGCTTGAGGGCTGGCTTTCACTTTGCCGCATCACCTATCCAAAGACACAAGCTTTCTTGACAGTCCGGCGCTGTGCAAAATCTGGCATGTGAGACGGAGAGACCAACAGCTGACAACAACTTCATAGTCTCGGGACTCAGGTTACGTCTTGGTGCTAGAACTACCAACGATGGGGTGGTGAACTACTCTGTACAGAGTCAGGAGGTGGCCTGACCATCACACGGCCCGGATCACCCAAATCGATAGAAGTGCCAGGAGGCAAAACCAGAGCCCTGCAAGGAGCAGGGGCCAAAAAAGTGAGGGGGATGCTTCGCTCTGCGGAGGCTGCGCATCGGTCGCGGCACCCTGAGGCTTGGCTTTCTTGGGTTCCAGGGGGTGCAACTCGGGTCCCTTTCCAGGCCATCCCACCACCTCAAAGGCCTCCACCGGGGAGGGGTTAAACTGTGCGAAGTCCACGGTCGACCTTCCATCTGAAGTGCGCTGCTGGTTGTCTGCTCGAGCACAAAGCAGGGACCTGATGACGTGCTTCGAGCCGCGCTGCGCTGCCAAGTGCAGTGGGGTGACGCCGTTCTCATCCGAAGCATTCGGGTCCGCTCTCTGCCGGCAGAGAAACCGGGCCAAGAGCAAGATCTGCTCCTGGTCCGGCCCAGCTAGTACGTGGTGCAGAGCTGTGCGGCCGAAGTTATCCAAAGCTTCACAGCACCAACAACCTGCATCGTCCTCCGAAACGGCTCCAAGCATCTCCTGCACCGTTGAAAGCTTCCCTGCCCTCACAGCATCCTTGAAGGTGTCTGTCTCATCTTCAATGAAGAGGTCTGCATCTTTGCGTCGCACGGGTCGGCGAGGCATGTTGCGATGCGCACACTTGCTACTCTGAATCCGTTTCTTTGTGTTGTTCGTTCTGGCGCTGCGTGCTACATTGGAAGGTGAATGCTATACCGCAGTATTGGCTTGAGGCTGTTGCAGTTATCCTGATAAAAAGGCAGGTGACGACAGAATCAGGACCCAAAGATTACAACAGCCTGTCAAACGGCTGCAAACACTGTCAGCATGATGTGTTTCCTGCAGTTGCATCAGGGAGTGCTGCCTTTAGCAACTTACTCGAAGCCTGAATGTCTTACACGCGTCGATGCATGGTGTGGTCACATGGATGTGGGTTGGAGCTTCGGACGGGCGGGCGAAAGGGCTCAGGTAAATCACAGATCAGAAGACTATATAACTAAGAAGAGACAAGAATCGATAGCACCGGAATCGAAGACCATAAGAGCAAAACAACAAAAAGCCCTGAACCTTCAAATAATGCTTCCAAACCAAATAAGCACTGGCAGCAACCCCCGATTTTCCAGTGCGACTCTTTGTTCGTTTCCTGTAAGTACTTACCCAACAGGCTCAAGAAGCCACTGTACCATTGTACAATGAAAACTACTCTCCCTCTCTCTATATGTATAGTTTGATTTATGTATGCACATATGAGTAGTGGCGTATGATATGATATGATATTTTTACATACGGTGATCACCTGACTGACGGGGCTTGCATATCGATCATCTAACTGTCCAGGATTCCGGCGATGGTGCCTGCTGCGTTTTGCGACATCAAGCGGCTCCAATCTAAGAGAACATCGCCCGAAAGACTTCGTGGGCGGATGGCTTAGTTTCTGTCCCGAAGAACTCCTGAATCAAAGGTTGCGAGCCCGTGATAATTATACCCTAAAACTCAAAATCGAAAGAGTGCCTCCGGGACGCCCTTCACTCGACCGAAGAACCTTGCCGCGCCAGGGGTGGAAGGTCTCAGCAAACCACTACTGGCCTACTTACAAGGCCGTTGATGTCCGTATTTCTATGGCTCGAGAGTTGTTTCTGTCTGGAGTCCAGTTGCATCGCGTACTTTAAGAACAATATACGGATAAGAGTATGTAGCGGTATTAATAATGATAGTAGCAGCAGCAATAACAGCTATCCTGCTCCGGATGCACATGAGCACCGGCCCCTCGGCCAAAAGATCTGAAACGAAGAGTCGGAATAATTCCCGATGATGCTTGCAGATTGTCTGCGGCGGTAGGCTTCTGTAGTGTCCTGTGGTCGTGCTGCGAGTCTTGCGACAGTTGAGATTTCCGCAATCCAAACTAGGCTAGCGAAGTTGGTTTGCATGCTTTGGCGAAAGTTTCTGTCCGTGTCAGCCCGGTATCTTCCTTCGGAATGGGCATGAAGACATGCTGGCTGAGATCCCGTCAGTGGGATGTGTCGCAAGTAGAGGCCATCATCAATTACAGGCCGTCGAACTAATTTTGGCAAACGCATGGTAACCCTGGCGGAAGGCTTGCAGTAAGTAAGGGGGCTTGCAGCTTCAGTTTGCAAGGGTGCAACATTGTGCAGGAATCCCTCGGACTTCTTGGTTGTCGAAACGGTGCTGACAACATCGGTGCTACTGCTACTGCTGCCCTTCCCTGGACCTCCAGTTACTTAAATAGTAGGCTACCAACCATGTAATATGTAACCCGGTAACCCATTCGTTATATAGCTAACTGGAGCCCTAGGGCCCTTTTCAGCATGGGCTTGGATTGTGCCGAAAAAACCCTATAAAACCTGAACCCTCACTTCAGTCACTGTAGAACCCGAGGCTACAGTAAGGTCTCGACAACAGGTGCTCCCGGCCGGACAAGAACTCCCAGAGAGGATCAACCTGCGCACCAGAGGCCACGCCACGATTGTATACCATGATTTTTTTAGGCTCCCACATGCAAGATTGTATACCATGATGTATGTATATATATATATACATATATATATATATAATACTTATCTACTGAGATATATGTCTGTATATTACTTATACAACTATATATATATATATATATAGATATAGATATATATGTATATATATATATATACGTACATACACCCACATTATAGCATAAGCATGTGCATATGCTTAGGGCGATTTTGGCCAGGGCTTGCGGGCGTGGATTTGAGGACTAGGATGTTGCCGGTAAGGCTTTGTGAAATGCTTCCGTGCAACGGGGCGGGAAGGAGCCTTAACGTCTAATCCCTGAAATTCGACAATTCAGTAGTTGCAAAAAATTTAGCAGTCGCATACTCTCTTGATGACTCAACTCCTGCACCCGGACAGCGCCTTAGCAGATCCAGGGCCGGAAACAAGCCCTATGGTAACCGTCAGTTATGGTAACAGTTACCGTAAGCCCTGAGCCCTAAAGCCATACACATCGGAGGGTTCCGGGGTTCGCTACACAGGTCACCTCGGTTCAAAGCTATAGGCAGAGCCGGATCAGCATCTAGGAGATAACACATGCAAAACTTCTTTGAGTCGAGTTTCGTTCATCAGCACATTCTCCACCATAAGTCCAGCCATAGCCCAAACAAGCACCATCTTGGCATGTCGCTCTGCGCAATGTGCGAACATGCGTCAGTAGGGAAAGAAGCAAGGCGCCCCCCAATGCGAACCAGCAGGATCCTGAGGAGAACCCCTTGAAGCGGGGCCTAGCTTTCTGAATCCCCAAAACTAGTAAGAACGCAGCTCAGGTACTTGTTGCAGGGCTCACGCGACTGAGCCCCTTAGAACCTAGACTATAGCCATCGATTCAGGGTCAATCAATCAATCTATCTATCGATCAATCGGTAATATACGGTTTAGGGTTTAGGTTTACATAGGCTTTTGATCTGGAATCTTTCTTACGCCGGCGTGGCAGTAAACCCCAATCAATGCTACGCGATTACGGTACACCATGCATATGGTAACCCCGAAAACACACCCTAAGCCCTAGACCCCTTAACCCTACACCCTCCCTTGTGCTCCCTTGTGTCACAACACTCTGGAAATTCCAACCCTTGCCCAGACTTGCGAGCCCCAGCAAAGACCATAAACCTTACCACCCGAACACCTCAACTTGAAGTGGACCTTAAATCGACCTTAAACCCCTCAAGTGCAAACTCTATAGGCTTTAATTACGCCCAAGATGGATCCCTTCAGTCTGCCTGAGGGCAAACGCCCAGGACTTGGTATGCCTGTCGCAAGAAGGCTTGAGGACTTTATGGAGCTATGTATAAGTTTCCATGCGTTTGCTTGCTTCTTTATGACTGCTTGAGCGTTATGTGGGATCAGCGCAGAGTGTTCGTGTGTGTGTGTGTGTGTGTCAAGTTGGTGTTCAAAAAGAGGTCACACTGTTCTAGGCTTTAGGGTGAGGGGGGGTCTGGGTGTGCTGGTTTGGAAAGTGGTTTGGAAAGGGGAGCAGCGATTCCACTGCATCAAATACTCGTTTGCACTATCATTACATACATGCGTACATACATCCTTACATGCATACATACATACATACATACATACATACATACATACGCACAGCGACTGGGTTTTCGGATCAGGCTATGGGCCACAGTTGGGCTTCATACGTTTTGCCCGGTTCACGATTCGCTGTGGTTTAGGAACTCTGAACATAACACTTCCCGGGCGAAGCAGCAAGTCTTTGTCCATAGAGGCTTCCAGCCCGTTCAAGGTGTTGCAGGTGTACATCCCGAGCTAAAATGCGAAAAGCTGCGCTGCAGGGCATGACCGGATCAAGTACAGCCATTTACGCGTGGTAAGCTTCGCCATAACATTCCATCTACAGCTATGGCGCTTGTAGCAAGACTACGCAGCAATGACGGGAATACTCTATGTATGTGTATCTATATGTGTATGTGCATATGTAAAGAACGATAATAACAATACTAACAGTAGTGAATAATGACAATAATCATAATAATCGCATGGCCGTAGAACTAAACCCGCTTCGTCAAGCCCGAAATCCCCCCAAAAGGTCCAAGTTATAGTATGGTATATACTTTTGGGGCCCAAATACCTACAAAGTAGCATATTACTACTTGGACCTTTTGGGGTCTCAAAGCATCCGACAGCTCCGGTTCCCGGCCTCTTCCAGGCCGTCAGATGTCGTGACGTCGTTACCGAGGATCTGGACCTGTTTCTAAGGGTTTAAAAGTTTAGGGTTTAATTTAGGGTTTAGGGTTTAGAGTTTAGGGTTTAGGACTCAGGGTTTAGGTTTCTATTTCCGGTTTGTAGATAGGGGGTTAGGGTATCGGGTGTGGAATCTGGCATCTAGTTCCTGGGCTTATTATAGACCCCTAAAACCCTATTCAATTATTTCGGCCCTTATATTGATGCTGTTTTCGTTCAGTGTTTTGGGCTTCAGAGCAGAGGTTTTACACTCTCGCAACTTGGACAAGCCATACAGCAGTTTCAGGGTTTGTGGTTTGTGGTTGCCACCTTTCCAACCGGAAACCCAAGCCAAAAACACCTAGAGAGGCCTAACGAGAGCCTAGAAAGGAATGTGCGACACGAAGTTCAGACATTAGGCTATAGGACCCAAATTTGAGCTCTCTGAAGCCGATGAGGGCATGCTCTTGAAAGGCAAGGAACCGTGAACGAACAGCTCGCTCCCGGTAAACGAAATCCCAAGCCTCACTCAGTTTATCAGGCGTGCAGCCTGAACCATACACCGCCGAAACCTCTAACCCAAACCGTACCCGTACCTCTGATGGATGTGGGGTCGACCCTTTCAGCAACGAGCCGCAGACTGATGTGTCACACACAGCGATCCTGCGAATTAGATGGGTCAGACATTAAAGAGTTCAATGGCCAATGCAATGTCACTGTCAAATTCGCACTACCTCGTTGCGTATGAATTGAGGACTGTCTGGGCTGGGCCGGTCCCTGGCTGTACAGCCATCACTGTAAGTCGATGCTCGGCGTAGTGTTCGGCCTACGCCGGGAACATGAACTTCCTGATGAAGTAAGGAGCTCTGCCTGAAGGATTCGGCCTTCAGTATTTCTTGAAAGTCAATGAGGTAGCTCAAGTTCATGATCTTCTTTCCTCGGCTGCTTCTTTTCGCCCCCCCAATCTTCAACTTTCGAGGCCTTATGATGGAGATTAAAAGACGGGCTACCAAGATCTATACCAAGTCTCGATACATGTAGAAAGCCCTCTCCCATGTCCGCTTGCTCCCTTCGATCTCGGGGGCCTCTGGGAGAGTTTTCTCCCCCAGCGTTAGCCAAGCTTCAACCATGCCTTACTGCCCCAACAAGCCACGGAAATAAAGCTTAACTTTCACATTACTCTACTACATGTAGCAAGAGCTCAAAAAGTTTATAAAGGGCTGGGCATTGGAGAACTAAGATGCTCCGAGTGTTGAAGAAGGCCTCAACGCGTTCGTGCTCCCGTGATTCTTTGAAGCACTTCAGCACGAAACGCCTTTTCTCCAGAGTTCCCAGCGAGACCATAGCTTGCAAGACTTCTGTCGGTTCAAACTTCAGTGAAGAGACGATGGGACAATAAGAAGTATATGTATAATATATATAGGGTATTGGTATATACCATTGGACAGCCTCGTCAGCCATGAGGCTACAGAGTGCAGGTTCTCATGCATCATCCGCCCGTGTTATTATACTACTGAGGAAGCCAAAGGAGCTGCGGTTTGTGCCATGCAGCTCAGTAGGCGAGCGCAAACGAAGGCGGTCGAAAGGGATGGCATGATAAATCCCCCCTTGCACAGGTGGAATAACTGCCACTACCACTGCCACCACTACTACCACTGCTACTTCGAATTATGTTTTAACCACCACCATCCGCACCACCGTAAATATGACGACGAGCACAGCGAGCTACGACAGGACGGCGAGAGCCTGTGCCAAAGGTTACGACAATCACGACTACGGCGAATTAAATGAATTAAGGCCCATTTCGTACTGTTCGGGGCTAGACAGGAGGAAAGGAAAAACAGAGAAAAGTGATTCGTGGCGAAGCGTAGAAGCCACGTAAGCACCTAAGCACCATGTCCACTAACCCCATAAGCCGTATCCCTACAAGCCAAAAAACCTAAAACACAAACAAAACCCATAAGCTCTCTAGCCCAAAGAAGCTCTGGAAGGGGTCCGCCTGGCCCGCTGTTGGCGGTCGCACTTCGCCAGTCCTCAGCCAAGTTTTATGCCGGGTTTAGATGGGTTCAAGATTGTGTTCGGAAGGCTTCGTTACACCCGCAGAATCGCCCACAAATAATGTGGAAGGGTGGGGTTCGGAAGATGGACGGAAAGCCTGTCCTAAAGCAGAGCTGTCAAGAAGTCCTCAAGCCAGTCTTAAAGCCCCGGGCACTATGAAGCCAAAACATGTACCACAAGGCCTTGCAAGCTTAGGATATCTTAGGATGTAAAATTGAGCTAAAATGCATTCAAGGAAGTTTCACAGAAGGCTGTAGTGTTCAGCTTTTGGTTAGTGCTTGAGGCTTGTAGCCATTCGCTAGTAGATCGGCCTCTTTTTCCATCCGCCATCAATCTGGATGCTCCATAGCTTCCAAGCAGTGGGGGTTAGGGGTTTAGGGTTTAGGGTTTAGGGTTTAGGGTTTAGGGTTCTAGGGCCTTAGGGTTTAGTAATTTAGGGTTTAGGGTTAGTTCACTGACAAGAAGCAGGGTTAAGGCTTTAAGCTTCCAGTCCTTGGACGACGTACCTTGAGGTTAACATATTTCCTCGCTTGGTTTAGATAATACGAATACTAGTACTAATGATCATGCCATAAAAAACTATTCACAACAATAATCATAATACTAAATATCAGAAACTTTCAGATTGCCTTTGGCAGTCGGCGGTTTCAGATGCATCGCACGGGGTGGCCTCGTCAAGAATGGCCGACAAGACATCCCGCCCTCCTAAACACGACATCTACTGCCAATTCACGAAATTTTGCAACGCGAGTAGTAAGCCTGAATTAGGATCCCGTTTTGGGTCCCGTTTAGAAGCGTGCCTTACTATTTGGGGGACCTAAAGAGGGACGCTAATTTAGAGAACTGCCCATATCAATATCCCGCATGTCCATCTACAAGTCTACAAGGTCGGAGATTCCCGCTGTGAGGCCACACAGAGCCTGACCAAGCATTCGCACACCTCACTAAGTCAGGCAACTGAGGTGATGTTTCGCAGCTAACATGGATTAGGCGTTGCGTGGCTGCACACAATTATGAATTAGACCCCAAACCCCGCATCTCAGTGGTGATAGAAGCTGATACCACCTCAACTTATCCCAAAACGCGAGGCCCAAACCAGAAACCGTACGCCTAAAACAGTAAAACTACTAAACCCTGAGAAGGCCTCGGGCCACTCGAAGCTGAGAAGCGGCCTGCCTTGCGATGTGGGGTTTGGGATTTAGGGTTTACGCTCTCGCAACTCAACGGTCTGTCGGTTCGGGTGCGTACTACAGTTCGGGTCAGGGTTTAGAGTTTAGGGTTCGGCGTTTGAGGTTTTGGGTTTGGGGCTTAGCGTTCAGGATTTACGGCGCAGGGTCTTTTAAGGGGTCCTCTATGGTCTCCTGCGGAAGGAGTGCTCGGACCCTCAACCTCTGAATCTGCAGCAGGAAAAGCCGGCTCTTCCGGAAATGCCCAGCTGAAATTCTCTCTCGGAAGCCATCAACTGCCGCACGGGTCTTGAGCTCAGAACCTGTCTATGCAGGAAGACACGCATGAACATCTTTGTATGCATACACACATTATGCATGCAGTGATGCAGCTATATTGGGTGGTGGCGCTTTGAAGTTATATGGAAAGTACATAAACAGATTTGTTGAACATGTCTACAAGTACCGGCCATTTCTCGATCCTGCTGGCGTATGCTGCATGAATCCTGTTGGTGCCTGACATGTGGCGACTCTTGCGTCCACGACTCGTCATGGCATCATGTTCCAATTAATGGCTCAACTCACTGCTTGACCCACAGATCTACCTGCCCTAACTCTGCCATGCGATGATCATGTGCTTCCGGCGGGCCTGCGCGTGGATCGCAAAGTAATGCGACCGAATAGACGTAGCAACGCCTTGAAGTTAGTGCAGCCAGGCCAAAAACACTGCCATCATACCAAACTCTGACAGCAGTTGGAGCGCGTCAAAGCCCTGCTGCCGGAGTTCTGTGGCACTGAACCCGGCGATGCGAAGCTCTGAGACGGTTGCTGCAGGAAGGTTGTCCGGAAGAAAGCCACGTGTTTTGAAGCTCCGAAGTTGGTAGGTATCAGAGAAATTGATCATAATGTGTTCGAACCCTGCTGCTTCAAGCTGTTGGCGAAAGAACCTTGCATGTGCGAGCTGGTCGGCAGTAAATCCAGCTTCACGAAGCTCTGCCGCAGAAAATCCTGCCTCTTTGAGTTCCATGGCAGAGAAGCCTGCCGTGCGAAGCTGTGTGGCCGTAAACCCTCCGACTGTGAGATCAGAGGCAGAGAAGCCTGCTGCACGAAGCTCGGTGGTTGAAAATCCTAAGAAGCCGAGCTCGTAAACGAGTGTGGCGGACTGGACACCTCGCCCCCGCAAGTCATTCGGGGCAAACTCAGCTTGGATCAGGTCTGCTACTGTCACACCGTGACGCAGAAGGGATAAGCCGTCGAAGCCTGCATGCTTCAGCTCTCTGGCAGTATAGCCTGCCTGTCTGAGCTTGCTTAAGCCGAGATGCTTCAGCCGCTGGGCCTCCACCCCAGCGTGCCTGAGAGATTCAAGAGTGGCTCCAGCCTGAAGAAGCTCGTCCGCGCAGTATCCAGCGTCGGCGATGCTGTCGACTCCGAAGCCATAGGAGATCAACTCTGCAGCAAGCACGCCAGCACTCCGAAGAGCATGCAGCTCGAACGACATCGCCACCATCATTCGAACGAGTGCTAGCCGGTGCCTTGTGTCTACATCTATAAGGGGGATGCTTTGCTGCGAGGGGCTGTCACGAACAAGGCGCAGCCATTCAATCAACGGCATAAAAACCTCGGGAGAATAGTCGACAAAGAAATAGCCACGGTCATCTAGATAAAGCTTCCAGCGACCTGAAAACAAGGCGGATAGCTTGTTGTCTCCGACCACACTGAACAATTCGCGGTGGACTTCGATAAGCTTTTCACCACCGATATTGATGCGGACGGTCTGGGTTGCCGGTTGAGCCAGGTCACTCCCGGAATTCCCGTGGCGAGCGGGCCGACAAACTTCAGCCATCGGAAGGTAAAGCAAGAGTTGAGCCAAAGTCTCATGGCAAAGATCGATGACTCAGTGATCAGTACAACCCGACCGCAGGAGGCCTAGTGGCAGTAGGCTTGTGTGAGGTTCACCGGCACTTCAGCCGCACGTCATGCGAATCATAGGGCATCTTGATAAGCTGCAAGATGACTATCACTGATGAGCATGCGATGCAAAGCAATTATCTTAATGAAGAGGCGCCAAAGCAAGAATGGAAGCAACCAGACATGGGAACTACATCACACAGCACACTACACCTGACAAACCCTAACAGCCTAACAACCCATAAACCCGAAACCCCAACACCTCCTAAACCCCAAAGCCCCTCAACCCTCAACGCCCCAAACTGCTGCTACTGCAACAACTCCTACTTCTCTTCCTACTACTACTACCACCACCACCCCAACCTCGAACCCCTAAACCTCAAACCCCTGAACCGTAAACCCGCAACCCCTAACCCTAACCCCCAAACCCCCAACCCTAAACCTCAAACCCCTAACCCCTAAACCCTAAACCCCTAAGCCCTAAACCCCTAAACCCTAAACCCCTAGACCCTACACCCCAAGAAACCCGCGAAGAGCCGATCCGAAGCCTCAGGAGCTTCGACCGACTCGTGAGCTGAGCACCGGCTTCCCTTGCGACGGTTTGGGGTATGGGGGTTTATGGATTTTGGGTTT